CAACACACACACACACACACACACACCACCACCACCACCACCACCACCACCACCAATTCCCACCGCTTAGCTTAGGAAAGGACCCGTTGTCCTGCGGGAATAGCATTATTAAATAATTAAAAGATGCATTTTCTTCATAGCAATGCCAAGGCCCGTGAAATTCCTGCTGCATTATCAGCAAAAGCAACAGGGCTTCTTCTAGCATCTAGAAAACCTTTCACCCGAGAGAGCCAGGAGCGCGCAGCACCGGCGAAAGCCGGGCCTTGTAGTAAAGAAACAGACAAGGAAGCAGGACCTTCGGGCCCCTAGGACCCCACTTTCTCTAGGGACTCTGCTCCCCAGGGTGAGGCGACCCTCCAAATGGTCCTCAGGGTTGGGGACAGGGAAACGGGGTGCTCATCTCGCCGCCTTTCCGTTCCTGCCGGCTTCTCCMGAGCCTCCTGCCCCCGGACTCGCGTTCTGGGGGCAAAGCGCAGAGAGGCTGTGCGTGCTGGGAGCTGGGGAGGCTTGGCGCGCTCCGAGAGGAGGCGCAGGCTTGGGGGAAGCTTTCGTTCGCAAAGTTAACGTTTACCCTGGAAGGCTTCGCCAAGCCCAAGCCCGAACCCAGCTCTAGTCCGAGCAGCTAGCAGACCTACCCCTGATATGTTGGGACTTTAGGAACCGCCGCCTGAGCTCCGGAAGAGACTTGGGCTTGAGGGCTGGAGCGCGCGCCGCAGTCGGCAGYCCCAGAGCCGCAGTCAGCGGACCAAACCCACGCTGTTAAAGTGCGGGGGATCGCCGCTCCAAGCCTGGCTCCTTCCCCTTTTCGGGGCTTTCCCAGCCGTCTCCACCCGAGGGACTGTGCCCTGGGGATCGCTCAGCGGAGATCAGGGAAGACCGCGTAGGAACCCCTCAGAGAGAGAGGTCTTCAGGTCGCACGCAGCTTTCCGAAAGAGGCGCAGCGCGGGCGGGCGAGCCCGGTGCTGGGGGCGACTTTTCCCCAGAGAGGAGACCAGGGGCAGTCGACGTGTCCGGAGCTAGCTCTGCAGTCCCTTGCCCCAGCCGGGTGCAAAGCCCTTGTGCCATGGCCTGGGCACAGACCCCAGAGGAGGCCTGAGCCGGGAAGAGTGGTGGAGCGCACATCTGGCTCTTCTACCCCCCTGCTCTGCCCTCGCCCTCCGCTGGCTCCCTTCTCCTTTTCTGATTTTTTTAAACAAATCTTTACACACACACCCTCCACCTTCTGCTTTGCATTAGCGAAGTCTTCKCTGGTTAGACCTCAGCCTGCCCCCCTCCCAAGACAGTCTCTAAGGAAATCCTACCCCCACCCACTCCGAGAAGCCCTGTCCTGGAGAAAGGAAGGGACTGGCGGAGCGCCTTACCTAGGGCTCTTGCGGGTGGACGCGACCTTCGGCTGTGGATCTCCGGTGCAGGGCAAGCGCAGCGGTGTCAGCCCCAGTCCCGGTCCCATTCACAAGTCGGCGGCGGCTGCGAGCGGCCCCCGCGGCATCTGCTCCTCGGCCCGCGACTCTCCCCTCAGCTGGCGGCGGCCGCGGAATGAGCCGCCGAGCGCGCTAGTGGCAGGAATGAGAAACCGGGGGGAGGTGGCGGGCGGGCGGGTAGAGGGGAGGAGGAGGGAGGCCGCCGCTGGGAGGGATGGAAAGGGCGGGGGGGCGGAGAGGAGCTGAGGCTTCGAGACGCGGCGAGCTGGGCCTGGCTGGGGCTGCGGGGGCCAAACTGGTCCGCGCCCCTCCCCCAAGGGCCCGAGATGTGCCAACCCCTGGATCCTTTGCCGCCCCTCCCTCCCGGGTCGAGGCGCTCCGACTCCCTTGGGGCTGAGACAGAGTCTGGAGCGACTGAAGTTGGGCTCCGGGGACGCACAGCCAATCAGGGAGGGAGACGGAGGGAAGCTGGAGAGGGGTTGGGAGCCCCCATTTTCCTCCTTCCCCTAAATCCGCTCCAGCTGGTCAAGCTGGGTCCTCGCCTGGCCCGCCTGATGGTGGGTTGAAGGAAGGCATCGCCCAAGTGGGGGAGGCAATCGGAATTAGGGAGCGCATTCTCTTCTTTCTCACTCTGCTACCCCACCCTCCAAAAATCCCTCCACGCTGGCGGCTCTTTCCCAGCTCCCACCCCTTTCCTCAAATCCCAAAGCCCCCTCCCTTGCAAACTCTGCTAGCGGTGCGGGTGGTGAAGCCGAAGGGAAGGGGGCTTTGGACTTTGAGAGAGCCTTCTTGGTTCTCTCCCAGTCCTCTTCTCCCCCACGCACAGCGCCTCCGGGGAGACGCCAATAGGTCAACCTCACCCCCCACCCGGGGGTTCCTTGATCCTTACCCCAGAGGGGTATCAGACTCCCCGCGGGGTGGAGGGGGTCACTTGTTGCCTCCCCCACCGGTTCCTCGCAGACCCGCCAAGGAAGGAGGACGGTGGAGAGCGCTGCTCTGCGGGAGGGAGGGTCTAGGGGGCGAACTACCCGCATCCTCCCTAGGTCTTGGGTTTCCCCTCACCGAGGGGTGCGGGCAACAGGGAGGAACACCAGAGCCCACTTCCAGCCCTCCTTCACCGAATCGCTGGGAGAAAGGACTGGCGGAGCCGGGTCTTTGCAAATCGCGTTAGGGACTGGGCGGGGCGGGGCTCTCCGGGTAGCGGGAGGCGTGTGGGGACCCGCACCCCGAGCCGGGAGCAACTGTGCCTACGTGGGGATCCCTGTTTAGGACAAGTTTCCAAGGTGGGAGCTGGCGGACAGGGAAGAGATGCAGGGAAGGTGGAAATGCAAATGGGTCAAGGGTGGAAGGAACCGCTGGGAGGGACTGGTCAGGAGCTGGGAGTGGAGATGGAGCCGCAGATCCGCGAAAAAGAAGGGTGAGAGGGAAGCAAAGGGAAAGCTGGTGCTGGAGCAGAAGAGTCAAAAAAAAAAAAAAAAGCATGAAGAAAGGAGAGAGACCCAGGAGTTAGTGGGAAAAGAGACCCCCAAACGTTCAGAGTCTCCAAGAAAGCGGAGCGCTCCTGGGGAGGAGACTGGAGTGCCTGGGGAGAGGAGGAACTACAGAACCCCCAGCTTCAGCTCCCTGCCACCCGGGGTCACTGAGCGCGCAGAGCTCCTCGGTTTCCAATCGAGGCAAGGAAGCGTGCACCGAGGTGGGGAACCAGGCGAGGCTACCCTAATACCTGCCCTCCTGCTTGCATTTATTTCCTGACGACTCGGTGGTCAGGATCCTTGTGTCAATATGCGCCAATCTCCGTCCGCCTCCTGTACCAAGGAATATATTGCGGCCTTTAAATTGCCCATTCCTACCAGGAAGGCGACAAATTTCCAGAAACTCTTATTCCTTTGATTCCCCCACCGCCATTGCCATACATGTCCAAGGTGACATTCCTCTGGGCCACCACAGCGACTCCTGGGAGACCACCCGAGTGCTGTTCTGGAGAGTGCGGTTGAGGGGCCATCCAATTTCTTTCGCTTTTCCATACCTCTGCCTTGCTTTTTCTGTTGGTCTTTTTGACCTGTCCTTTCATGGACCACAGCAGTTTGGTCTAAACCATAAAACTCGGTATGGTACGCCACGTCTCTGCCCTAAGGGAGCATAGAAGCTAAGGCTTGCTCTGATCCTGCCATTGATGCTGGAGAGGAGGGAATAAAGTCTGATTCTTCTTCAGAAACAAACGGAAAGAAAGAAATACTTCAGTTTTGCTCTTGATTGGCTACAAATTGTTGCTTGGTGTATGCCATCCTTTTTACATAGGTATAAAGGGAACACACAGCCATTGACAGTCACCCTAACTGCATAGGGGCAAAGAAGCTCAGGTTCTGTGTAATGGTTGGGCATCTTGACCTCTGAGGAAAGTTTCATTAACTCTAGTTTGGAGCACACCTAAGGATAAGCCTGGTCATATGTAATCTGACATTAACTGGAAATTGTCCTCTACTTTCTGTTCAGAATTCATCAAATGACAGTAGCTGTTTTTTAGACCATCCAATTCATTAATGGGAGCATCAGCAAAATTTAAAAGTAAGTTCAAAAATTTTTGGTAAGTTTGCACACTTGAATCCAAGGAATCTAGTATATAGCTGCAATCAATAGTTCTCTGCACAACCTAGCAATTTTATACCTAGGATTCTATTCAAAAGAACAACAACAACAAAAAAAAAAATATGTCCACACAAACACATATACTGAAAGATCCTAACAGCATTATTCACAGTTGCCAAAATTTGGAAACAATCCTAATACACCCAACAATGAATGAATGGGACAGACAAATAATATTCCAATGGAATATTACTTGGCAAATAAAAGGGAAAAGAATCTTGATAATCATTATATCATGAATATAACATATGCTAAAATCCAGACAGATGCAAAACCACACCTTGTAGAATTCCATTTATTGGAAATGTCCAGGAAGGCAAAATGATAGAGACAGAAAGCAGATCTTCCTGCCCAGGGTCTAAGGGTTTAAATAAGAATTGACTGCAAAAGGGGTGTGAAGCAACATGGTTGAGTGATGGAATGCTATAAATCCGGAGAGTGATGATGATTGTATGAATTTACTTTAAAAATCACTAACACGTTACAAAAAAGGCAAAAATAATTTTTATTCACACCTTTATTCTCAGAGAAACTTTGACCCACAGCTAAGCCCCAAAAGGAAATATTTGCAAGGCAGTTTTCCAGAGGAAAAAATATATATATAAGAAGAAGGAGGGGGAAAAAGGAGTCTATTTCTTAAGGAAAGATAACCATGCTTCTATTCAGCAAGTTCTATTTTGGCAACTGCTTGGAGAGTCTTATAAGTGTTAAAGCAAGTTAATTTCCCCTTTCACTCTTCTAAGTGATTAATTCCTGGGAACTAGAGTTAGGCATTCCAGTTCGTGACATTTTAAACACACCTACACATAGACACAGTACAAAGTGCACATTTCAGAGGGGATTTTTATGACTATGTTAGGATCTGTCTTAGAAATCCATATCAAGCACTTGGGTGGGGTAGTGTGTGATTACAGTTTAGATTTAAAAAGGAAATGAAAAGAATAGGGAAAAAAGAGAGAGAACCCACTGACAGCTTAAACTGAAAGACTAGGTTCAGACCCGGCAGCCCAAAGTTTGGGTGTTTACCTTAAGTTGCCTCACCTTTCCTCCGCCTGCCCCTTCTTCCAGGGAGGAAGCCAGGGTTCATGGTTGCTCTGGAGCCAGGATAAAACAGCCCCTTGTGCTTCCTGCCTGTTCCAATCCAGACSGAGATGAGGCCCAAATGAGCCTTTCCTTTTCTTTGTCCTTGTCAGCAACAATCTGATAATTTCCTGTCATCAAAGGCACCAGGCTCTCATCTCTTTGATGCATCTCTCCTCAGACTCTGAAGAAAGCCAGACCCCGTTGAGAAACCCCTTGTTTCCACTTAGAAGCTCCAGGCTTGGACCTTCTCAAAAACTTCCTGTTCTCCTTTGTTCGTGTTGGAAAAAATGAGACCAGATCCAAGCAGGGAGTGGATTTCCTCAAACTGCAGTGGACTCCAACTGTGCCTTCCCCAGGCAGAGGGAGAACTTGGAGAGAGATGACTGGGAATACCATTTCTGAATCAACACTCCAGGTAGAAACTTCCACTGTTGGAGAGTTAGGAAAAAAAAAAAAAAAAAAGAAGCGAGAAGACCTCACACTTTTGATCTGTGTCTGATTCCTGGCTCTGTCACTTACTAGCTGTATGGTTTTGGGTAATATTTATATTTCTGTGATGGGGGTTTGCAAATCTGTAAAATGGGAATTATTATCTGTGTCAACATTGTTGTAGGGATTCAGTGTCCCCCCGCCCATACCTAAAACAATAAGTTCTGTGCTAGAAACAGGCTCAATGAATAAAAAGAATAATAATAACGATTATTAATTATGAGATCTGAATTCTACACCTAAAATGACCTGAGTAAGAAAGAAGTTGTGTTGAAATTTTGAATTACAATAATCATGGATATTAATATTTTCTTAGATGTGATTAGTATTAAAAATTCTGGTCAAAAATATTTTGGCAGTTGAAAAGTTACTTACATTCTAAGGATTGTTTTGGCCTTATAGGATTAGCTATGCCTCTCTTGAGGAAAGGCCCTGAGTTCATGTCTTAGATCTGACACAAATGCATTGAGGCATCTTGGGTAAGTCATTCCCTTTGCTCTGATCTTCAGGTACCCTACTTGTAATGAGAGCTTGCCCAAGATGAGCTTTGGAGAGGTTCCTTCCAGAGCTGAAATTCTGAAGTCTTCTATTCAGTAAAATCAAAGCATCTTGTAATTCCCCTTTCTGCCACTAGGAGCAATCAGCCAATAGTCTCAGGTTGATAAGACCTGGCTTTCAGAACTTCTGTCTGAATCACATGCATTTCAACCCTAAACGTTTGTCATCCAGATGGTAAGTCTCCCCAAGGGAGGGTGATACCCTTTTTATTTATATCTGCATCCCCAGCACCTAGCTCAATGCTTGACACATCAAACAAGGAAGCACAGTAAATATTTTTGAATGAACTAATAAATGCTTTTGAGGGGATGCAAATCAGTATATTAGTTAAATATCACCAC